GCTCTTATTTAGCAGCGAGAATGCAACAGATGTAGTCCTCTCACCCAGAACCTTCTTGGTATAGCAAGAATGCCGCTGCAGCACACACTTAAGCCTATTTTTAATCCAATTCCAATCATTCTCAACAAGCAAACCAACATATACACTTATACTCACGGACTTATCCCTATATATTTCTACACACATATTCACATTATCATCATATAGATCAAACATAACAACATATAACAATCTATATATATTTATATTAATAAACATATATATATATATATATATATATATATATATATATATATATAATTCGGAGCGTTACAATATGTAATGCAGATTAGAGATGCAAAATTTATAACACAGAGATTCTCCCCTTTTTAGATCCACACAGGCTGAGCAGAACATCAACTTATTACCATTCTTCCTGATTTACACTAGGCAGAGATCAATAACATATGCAGTGAAATAACAGAAAACGTATCCCTCTCAAAATAACATACAATTTCATAACATGTGCACTTCACATTTTCATCAAAAACAGAAAAGGGCTGAGGCATCTGAGCCTCAAAATGAACAAGAACTAAACCTTAAACATGCAAGAACGCACATCCAAATATCACAGTAAAACATCTCTCCTATTCACTAGCTTTTTGAACTGAACTGAAGCCAATAAATTTTATGAAAGAAAGAGAAAGATTCTCATTCACATAGAAATATGAAATCAGCAGAAAACACTCAAAAACACTCTATACACCTACACACTCGAGATTAACCCAAGGCTATCATACCAAATAAAAAGAAAATGAAGGAAATCTCGTGCATGCACATATACATTCAGAGTACCAAGATATTATACCAACATATTTTCGTGCAACACAGTTTTAATGATTTTAAGATAACTTGGACTCTCGTTTACCTCGTATCCACCACTATGGAATGCTGTTTCTGAACTCCAAGAGCACCAACTCTTGTTCTATCGTTCTGCTGCATGTTTTCTTGAATTTTCCTCTACTCTGCTCCTATGAACCAAGAGCCTAATAAGAAAACTACTACACCTATCCGTTCTGTCTTCCTCATTTTCCTTACGTGAAACCCCAAATAAGGTGTATTTTTCTGGATCTCTCCCCTAAACCAAGAACTGCAAACTCAGGACTTTGTTGCACTTGTTCGTACTTGAAGAAAGCCATGAGCTTGATGGAGGGGAGCCTCTACTCTAACCTGCAACTTCTACGTGCCATTCAAGGTAGGGGGAGTCCATAAATTTCTTGTTGTGATTGGCTAAATATGTTGTATGCATGTTTTCATTGTTACTCTGTGTGTAAACTGCTGATCAGAGTGCATGCATGTAATTTTTCTTTGTTTTTCTTTTGCTTTATGAACAACTTAATGAACTAGGAGGTGTTCTAGTAAAGCATAAAATGTGATCGAGTATTTGATTTGATTGCATGCAACTTTGGCCCCTTTTTCTTTTAGTTAGTGCTCTTGATGTTTTCGTAAATTGACCTGATTGAAATAATGTTGACATTGAGAATTCTGCTACCCTTTATTTAAGACTGATTTTATGAATATATTCTTCTTTGGTGTCCAGATTTCATGTCTGTTTGAGTGTTATGTGGTGTGTCCATTCTAAATGGATATATGAACCCTACCACCTTTGCATGAATATTAAACTGCAAACCCAGTGCATGATGAATTCCAAGGTTGCACGAATAATCACTGTGTGTGTTCTTTATTTGTTGTGCAGTTTTCTGAATTGTTCCTATCTGCAAAATAGTTATACCTTCTTTCCTTTTCAAAAATTGTGATCTTTGCATGCTTCTCTACATTGGTTGTAAATGTGGGAATACTATTTCTGCACTTGACACTATCATACACATAATTTCATTCCACTCATCCAGAAACACTTAAATGTGGGAATATTGTTAAAGTCAATTCCACTCATCCAGAAACACTTAAATGTGGCAGCAAAACATGGATAAAGATTCCATTCCATTCCATTAATGGTGCACAAATGTTCACAATAAAGTTTACCCAAAAAAGAATTCAGTACTACGTAGACAAGTCAAAAATAAAAGATGCTGAGGATTCCATTCCATTCCATATCATCCAGAAATATAATTATTCATAAGACTTGAAAATGTTAAATGATTCTGCCAGCATAACATGGATAATTACTTAAGTCCATTGTATTAATGAAAGGATAGGAGTTGAAAGCGAAAATATACAGAAAATGAAATCCATGACAACATATGAAATATCTCAAAATAAATACATCCATAAATAATTTTATAATTGTGGATTGATCATGTCTGCCACGTAGTCGTGCTCATTGAAGTCTTCATTATGTTGTTCATCATTGTTTGTAGCGTTATTGTCATCCTCTTCCATTTGTGCATGTGTTTGGTCCTCAACGACTGGTACATTGAGCTGAATATCTTCCTCAGCTCCCTCCTCTGGTTGGGCCATATCATCCTCTGCAAATTGGGGGTTGGTTGGAAAAGTTGGACTGTCTCCAGGCCAAGATACAATACTTGCAAAAGATTCAGGTGTAGGCCAAGGGAAAGCAGAAGTCTCTCCATGATGTTGGTGTAATGTAAACCTGAGAATTGACAAAATGAGGGTTATGTTAAAAAAGTTGAACATTTTCAATTAATATGTAAAAAAATTATTTAAATAAAGTTTACCTGTAGAAGGCCTCATTCAATTGCATGTAAGCTCAGTTGTTTGCTGCGTTTTGTTGCTCTGTGTGAGTCAAATGGCGTATGACAGCAGAATCTGTATGTGACATGTGTGGCATGGATGGTGCAGTTGGTGGTGGTGTTGTTGTAGGTGCTGCAGATGAGCTCGGCTGAGATGAAGGTGGAATAGGATGCTCTAATGGATTAGTGCAATAATTTCTTATGAAGTGGGAATTTATAGGTTTCTTCAATTTAACTATTTGGTTGGAGCAGTCGGGAATACTAAGGCCTTATGAAGCACACAAAGCAGTGATCAGAGCAGGGAATCCTAAAGGTTTGGTAGCTGCTGCAGTAGAGGAGGTGTTGGACATGACAAACTGGTGTATTTCATCTGAAATTATTGCTGCTATGTCCACAGTTAACTTCTCCATGAAGCTATAAATCAAATATGCTCGAGGCATGCGAACATCTGAGGTGTGTGTGGTAGGGGCTATGTTGGCAAAGAGAAACGATGTTCATATTTGTGCCAAAGTGTTTAAACTTTGCCTCTTGAACCTCATTGCCTTTCCAGCAGCATTTGTCTCATAAGATTTCCCAGGGATGCATAAGACATTAGCTACTTCCTGGTCTACAAAACCTAAAAATCTCTTTTTACGTTGTTGATATTGGCACAGCTCTCCTTCGGTTAAGATCATAGGATTACCCAAAAGTGCAGAAATAGCCTCCCTATCATAAGCAATTGTTTGCCTCCGAACCCAAGACTTCCTCTCTCCCTTGTTTGGTATCAACGGCCACGCATTTGCGTAAAATTCTTTTACAATGACTTCATGTATTTGGTTGGAAAGATTAGCCAAATATTGCCATTTCCTTCTGATTGCCATTTCCTTCTGACAATTTCCTGCATAAATTTGTCGTACTCTCCTTCATCTAATACTACTTTCCTCTTAGGTAATAATTCCCTTTGCTCCAATTGAATGTATCTTTCAGCCTTTGCCCTAGTTCTGAACCTAAATCTATCCCATGATAGGACTGGTGTTTGTGTTTGTAGTGGTTCTACGTCATCTATAGGTTGTTCATTTTGTTGTGAACCTTGCCCAACCTCAGGTCTTTGCCTCTTTCTTTGAGGAATTGACTTCTTAGGTGCCATGCTGAAATGAAAAAAATGAAATGATAATACTATATAAAATAATGACTTTTAGAATAAAAAAATTTGACTGCAATGCGAAATGCAGTACTCCTTCATTATTTCAGTTCAGTGGCACAAATCGCTTACGCATGTACCCTTCGCTTAAGCGATTTTACCAGCACAGTGAACCAACATGGAGACAAAATAACATTGTGGAATAACCAATCAAAATATTTACTTTTTTATCACGCTATAAAACAGAAAATGCATGTATCAGACTACTCTCCATGTACCACAATGAAAATAAGTGAATCTTCGTTAATGGAAACTTTAACCTTAAGAACAAATTGCATGCATACAGTATAAAAGTGAGGAAGTACCTGACTTTGAAGGTAGAATGAAGGATGCTGAGGGTTTAGGGTTTTGGGTGGGAGAAGAAAGGAGAAATTTTAGATGAAGGTATGAGTGCAATCAGAAGGAGAACGAAAGAAACAGAGATGCAGTTTGAACTTTTAAAAATGTAACCGTCACCATTTTCGCTTAAGCGATTAAATTTCGCTTAAGCTATTAAACAGAGATGCGCTTGGTGCCTTATTTAGAGAGCGGTTCTTTACTAACCGCTCTCCAAGAAAGACTTTAGAGAGCGGTTAAAAGAGAACCGCTCTCAAAAGTATACTTCCGAGAGCGGTTACCAAAGAACCGCTCTCAAAAGTATAAATCTGAGAGCGGTTCTCTGTTAACCGCTCTCAGAAATATAGATCTGAGAGCAGTTAATAAAGAAAATTTTGCTTAAGCGAGGAAATCTTAAGTGAAATTTAGCTTAAGCGAATTTGCCTTTTTAAGTTGGCGCCAAAGGTCAGTGCAGTGACGTAGTGAGGAAGAAATAAAGATTATCCAACACTACCTTCTATGAAAAACTCACCTAATTTTTCTTATGGCAAGGAATGGTAAAAAAAATGGATTTTTCTGAATGTACAACTGTTAGATAATGAGCACATTGTTGAGGAATCAATACTGAATCATGGTCTAAAGGTGAAACTAATCACGTTCCTTCCAACCAGCAAAACAATCTTCGGTCAAGCTGACAACATTAACATCTAGTAAAGGTAAATATTTAGCACACATATTTCACTTCATTTGTCATCTTCTTTATAAGGAATCAATGCTTATGATGTTTCTTCTTAAATTGTTGGGCTAAAAAGGAAATGGAATGCGAATATGTTGCATGGAAGCTGCGTGTTGGGTTACAGTTTAACACTCTTGAAGAAGCATGGAAATATTGGTGTGAATATGATGGAAATATTGGTGTGAATATGGAAGGATAACAGGATTTGGTGTGAGGAAACAATATTATAATAGGCGAAAGGTTGATGGTGTAATTTCATCTTGTCGGTACGTTTGTTGTAAAGAGGGACATCGAAAGGATGATAAAAGAAATCTAACAGTTACAAAGCACAGGGCAGAAACTAGAACTGATTGTCTTGTAAGAATAACATTGCTTTTGGGATGCAACAACAAATATGTTGTACATGAGTTTGTTGAAGAGCATAATCATCCATTACAACTTCCAGAAACAACACACATGCTTGCTTCGCATCGTAAGATAACTGAAGTCCAAGCTCATCAAATTGATTTGGCCGAGTCCTCAGGATTGCGACAGAAATCATCATTTCAGCTAATGAGCACACTTGCAGGACATCGAGCTAATGTTGGGTATACTCCTCTAGATGCAAAAAATTATTTGAAGAGTAAGAGACAATGGGGAATGTTATATGGAGAAGTCGGTTACTTAATGGAATACTTTCAACGACAGTTAATCGAGAACCCATCATTTTTTCATGCATACCAAATGGATGTTGAGGAACAAATCACAAATGTTTTTTGGGCAGATGCGAAGATGGTCATTGATTACGGGTGTTTTGGTGAAGTCATATCATTAGACACTACATATTGCACCAATCGAGCTAATAGACCTCTAGCCTTGTTTTCAGGATTAAATCATTATCGAGGTGTTGTTATTTTTGGGGCAGCCTTATTGTATGATGAGACAGCCGAATCATTTAAGTGGTTGTTTGAGACCTTCTTGGAAGCACACAATCAAAAACAACCTCAAACAATTTTTACAGACCAAGATCAAGCAATGGCCAAGGCAATTGTTCAAGTAATGCCTCACACACATCATGCTTTATGCACATGGCATTTAATGCAAAATGGCATAAAACACCTTGGCAATTTGATGAGAGGAGAAACTCATTTTCTAAGAGATTTGAAAAAATGCATGTATGACTATGATTCTTCAATTGAGTTTGAGGGGGCTTGGAGAAGGTTCATAACAGAATACAATGTTGAACAAAATTCTTGAATTACTTCACTTTATTCCATAAAGGAGAAATGGGCATCATGTTATCTTAAGGATGTGTTCACCCTTGGAATGCGAAGTACTCAATTAAGTGAAAGTTTAAACTCTGATTTTAAGGCATGTATGAAATCTGGTGTTGACATAAAACAATTCTTTGCTCACTTTGAACGAGTTGTTGAAGATAAGCGTTACAATGAGTTGAAGCATGAGTATGACTCCCGCCACAAGCTAGCTATATTGCAGTATGAGGTGTCACCAATCTTAATACAAATGGCCAAGGTTTACACACATACAATATTTAACTTATTCCAACAACAGTTTGCTCAATTCTTAGCTTGTAACATATCCCAAAGGTTTGAAACTCCTCCTATAATTGAATATGTGATTACTAAAGTCCATCAACAAAGATCATGGACGGTTACATTTGAACCTTCCTCAAGCACTATATATTGCTCTTGTAAGAAGTTTGAAACATTTGGCATACTTTGCTGTCATGCATCGAAAGTGTTTGAAGCCAATGATGTGAAGGTTATCCCTGATAAATACATACTTAAGAGATGGACAACACAAGGTCGTAGTGAGATTATTCACAATGTCAAAGGAAAAGAGGTAAAAGGAGATCCTAAACTTAGTACCACACGCCGATACCGTAATCTAGCATGTAAAATAATTAGGTTGGCATCCGACGTTTCTAGTTCAGAAGAATATTATCAGCTAGTTGATGATAGTATTAACAACTTAATCAGCAAAATTACAAAACTTCAATTGCAAACAAACAGTCTAATGGATAAAGATAAAGATGATGCAGAATTTATGGCCAATAATGATGGTACACAACCTAAGGGATTCAAGCGACGACCAAGCAGTAAGAGGAAAGGGAGTAAACGTTTCAAAAGTTGGGTTGAGCTACAAGCAAAGAGAAAGAAGAGTAGAACTCCAATTTTAGATCAATCAACGTCTCAGGTTCTTTTATATAATGATTTTGAATACCAATAAAAACAATTCAGTTAACTTCCATATTATAACCATATAATATAATAATATGGGTGTTAATATGTTATAGGAATATCAACCAGTGGTTTATGATCCAGTTGAAGTACATTGTTCGGCACCTCCATGTTATGATTCCCCTCACACATTACTTAATCAATTAAATTTTACAGATTTGTTGAGAGTAATAATTTTAACCTTAACTTTTACATTGTCTAATGATTGATGGTGGTTCCTAATATCTCTTCTTATTTTGTAGGAACAACTTCATGATACCAATGATTCAATTCTGGATGATATTTGATTGGAATCGAATGGAATGGAATCCTCAGCTTCTTTTGTTTTTGACTTGTCTATGTACTAGTGAATTCTTTTTTGGGTAAATTTTATTGTGAACATTTGTGCACCATTAATGGAATGGAATGGAATGGAATCTTTATCCATGTTTTGCTGCCACATTTAAGTGTTTCTGGATGAGTGGAATTGACTTTAACAACAAAATTTGTAAACTTTTACATTTTGAGAACATGCTGTCATTTTCTGCATAATTTTTGCTTTTTCTGCATAATTCGCTTAAGCGGATCCTTATTAGCTTAAGCGAATTATAGTCCTGTGAGCTCCCTGTCCCAGATTCGCTTCATTTTAATAAAATTCGCTTGCATCCGCTTTAAACGAAAAACACTTACGCTTAAGCGATTTAAACAGTGCTTAAGCGAGTAATCAGCACAAAATCCATGCTTCTCTGTTCCAAATTCGCTTAAAATTACAGATATTTGCTTGGACGGGCTTAAGCGATTCAAGATTTGCGGGATCCCAGAAATGCTTCGCTTAAGCCAAAAGTCCCGCTTAAGCGAGAAATCACTCAAAATTCGCTTAAGCCATTTCACATTCGCTTAAGCGAATGTGAACATGAGGCTCATGTTCCTGCCAAAACATAAGAGGATCCGGATCCTGGGATTTGATAGATGACATGATGAATATATAATTTTCTTTACGTTTATATTTTAGAATACATGTTGATATGACTTTTGTATGATGCAGCCAAAATCACGTGAACAGTGGAATCCTTCCACTTTAAAATTCGATTGCATTCTTAGTGAAAGACAACATTTTGAAATAATCTAAATACAGGCCTAAATCTGGAATCAAATATTTTAATCAAAATCTATTAAATACTATTATTATAACAAAAATAAAGATGAGTGTGAGATATTCTTTGTACATGTATGTAAGAAATTATTTTTTTTTGTTACTGTCTTTTATCCTTTACATTTATATTTAATATATATATATATAATTAAATTTAATTATTTTTATAATAATAATAAAGAAAAATAAAATAAATTTTAAGTATCATCTTCATTTATAATATTTATGTTATTTTATTGATATCATTTTACTAATTTTATATTTATATTTTTGTTATTGTCTTATTGTCATGATAGATTAATTTTTGTTTTATTTTATTTTATCTCATAATTAATAATTTATATTTTATTTTATTTTTTTAAAATTGTATAGCAAATATGATAAATAAATACATGAAATAAATATAATAGTTTACAATGCTACTGTGTAGCATCTCTACCTTTATGCATTGTCAATTTTATAAATTTATGTGTACCAATGTTACCTTTGGTTTATACCGTAAATAATAAAATATATATATATATATATATATATTTTCTTTCTTTCTTTTTTTGACTTCTAAAATTAGTTAATTATATGTTTTTTAGCTAAAATTTATCATTTAGAATACTTTAATTATATTAATCCAATAGTTTATAATATTATTGTGTAACGTCTCTACCTTTCTATACTTTAAATCGTTAAGGCTCTTGTGTACCAACTTTACCTTGAGTTTTATGCAATATGAATTTATCAAATGAAGTCTTAACCTTTTATTAAATAAATATTTTTTGATCAAATTAAATATATTTATTTCTTTCATTAAATAGAATTAATTTCATATTTTTAAAGTCATATTTTAATAACTTAAATAACCAATCATCTCTTCATTTTATTATACAAATTTTTGCAACATCGATGTGTAATTTACCTTGCCTTCGATCGTCCAACAAATTATAAGAGATTTGTGTATAGCTTACGTTATCTTAAATTTTCTTTCAACACCAATCATAATCAAAAATAAAATTTAAATATTTCGTTTACGAATAAAATATTTTTAACGATTTGAAATATAGTTGTGTGATCTTTATTCACCCTTTGTATTGTTTCTCGTAGGGTACAAGTATAACTGTGTTATCTTGTATTCTAAACATTATAATTTTATTAAAATAATTTTAATTTCAAATTAATTTTTATTTTACTAAATTTAATTTTAAATAACCAAATTCATAATTTTTAGATAGAATTATGTGGTTTTGAGTTTTCGATTGCACCCGGGGATATGTAGGAGCAGGAACCGGACTTGTCAAGTCAAAATAATTTTTTAAGGTATCTATTAACATTTTAATAAATAATTTTTCTTCTAAAATGAAAATAATTAATGTTTAGGGGTTAAATAAATATTTTTTAAAATTAAAATGAATTTGCGTAAGTAACTGACATTATAGGATGTTAATACCTTCCCTACACGTAAATGACTCTGGAACTCATTTTTGGTTCCAAAGATCATATTATTTTAAAAAGTTTTTCCAAGGTTTTCTTAAAATAAATTTTAGTGACGACTCCTTTAATTTTTTAGAAAACATTTTTATTCCTAAAAGATGTTTTTCTTAAACTTCATTTTTTGCTGTACCTTGCGACTGCCCGGTTGCAACATTAGATCTTTAGAGTCTTTCACAAATTCTATTTATGAACTTAATGCTTTTTAGAATAAAAAATTTTACACTTCTACAATTTCAATTTGTAACACCCGACCTTTCTTTATATTAAATATATTAAGCTTAGAAAAATATTATAAAGAATAACCAAACTTTCCCTTCTAACAATTAATTTCAATTTATATAGATAAAACCTTTTGCAACAATCAATTTATGTATAAGACCAATTTTAAAAAAATAAACTGCATGAAATACATTTGCAAATCGATATTCACATGCCAAAAGATTTTAGTTACAACATAATATATTACATTTATGTATCATTACTCAAAATATTTTATAATTTACAGCAGTTCATTCACATTTCTTATACTGAGGATATGAAACTATTCATCTATATCATGTCAGCCCTCAATTCTTGCTAAGCTCTCAACTGTTAATTCATCATCCTCTCCAAGAAAGGCGTTACCAGAGTCCACCACCATTTCTATACTAGAGAATCTCTCAAATGTATAGCTATTAGGTCTTCCTAACAAATCATGATCATGATAAGTAAATACATTATTCATGATCTGAAAAGGCCTTACTATTTCCTGGTATAAATAAAAACTAAAAGACTGATGAATTTGACAACTGGTGGAGAAATCAAAAGAAACCGCATAATTATAAATTACTTCTAATGTGTACTCCTCATCATTTCTAAAATATATTCTAAATATAAATGTACAACATGTTTATATTTTCTAAATACATAATTTAATCTATTACTAGCATAAACATCCACTATATCAATTCGCACGGGATGTGTTGTCATCTTTACTATCTGCAGAGTGGTGTAAGGATGAGCAACTATTTTACCTTTCAAACACAACACAAATTCATCATATCGCTTATTACAATAAATCGTAAATATACAATAATCATTATTTCATACCACATATAAATTATTCTCAATCCTAACATATAAATTCACACAATTTCATTATATCATTATCATTCCATTTTCAAATACGCACTTTCAATGCCTTGTGATCACATTCATTCGATGTCTTTAGCAATTTTCAAGGTCTTACTCAACCATGTAAACAGTTGCCAGTTAGCTCATACAATACGGATCCAACGTATGCAATCACGAGCCCCTTAGCAAAGGCATAGTCAGAAGTTTAGTCAGGAAATGAGTATGAGGTCATGTGGCGCATTCGCACTCAACAATAATATGTGCATAATCATGAATGTCGCTCACCACCCTACATTTTTTTGAGATTTTCTTATCTTCTTTAGACTCTATACTTCTAATGCATCTCTGTAATTATTTACATCAATCCATTCAGTGCTCATATTCATTCTACAATCCAATTATAAAATCGTGCTTAATAACAGATCCAAACTAATTCCATATTGCTTTTCACTTACTCATGATTTCAATAATCACATCATTGAACAATAAGGTCATATCACATCCAGTACATTCATCAAATATCATCAAAACTTGCTTAATCATAGTATCATGCTTTCTCATCATATATTTCATATTTACACAGTAAAATTACTCAACCAAAACATTAAACATATTCATATCAGTAATCTTTCTTCATTATTACTTATTATTCACATATATATCATAAAAATGCTATATATACATACTCTCTTGAGCTCAACATATAACCTATGACATATAATGATAAAATAAAGCCCCCATTGCCTTATATTGAAGATCTAAATGGAGATTGACGAGGAAGAACGTCCTAAAATAATATTTCTACCCAGATAACACGAATTTGTTCCTTAAGAATAAGATTCAAGGAAAACGAATGGTAAAAACACAACTAAAGTTAGGGACACTTACTTAAGATTGCTTAGAACAAACATATAATCTTTGATTTGGAGAATAATCAATATTTGTATGGGTATTGTTTTTACATGGAAGAATTAATTAAGATTAATTCCTTAATAAATATTTATAAAAATACATAAACTAAAATTTTCGTATAAATTAAAATTAATTTATATACCTAAACTTTTGTAAAAATATTTCCTCATTTAACTTTTCTATACATTAAGATGAATAAATTAATTTTAAATAGTAACAGAGCTTGCATTGTAACAACAAAATAATATTATGAGATTAGAATCTTAAGCAAAGTGTCAATATGTATATATGATCGGTACCCATTATACTGTGAGGTATTACACTTGGTTTTGCTTCCATTTATATCGTTCAATAAGTTGAAAGTAGACATCATTCCAAGCAGTTTTTGTTATCACCTTTTTTCTTTTCACATCCATGGACATGGAACTGTACGCTATTTTGAAAATTCAATTTTATAACTCTAATTTAAAATGAGTATGAAACAATTCTAAAAGGCTTTTGTTACAAAATAGTAAGATAAGCTTTTTAGAGAAGTGCTTTTAAAATGATTTAAAAAAGTAATTAAAACCCTACCAAATTGCTTGCGATAAGAAAAAAGTGTCTTAGGAGGAGTTAATTTTTTCTTAATATATTTCAAAAGACTAAGCG